TCTATTATTCCATTTGTTTGTAGATGATAAGATGAAGAAAATTTATGTTTGATTCCAAATTTTGTTGATAATTCTCTAATTATTTCATTGACAAATTCTAATCTATTGTCTGATTAAATTTCTTTAGGGTATCCATGTCTACAGATTATTTCTTCAAAGATAAATTTTGCAATTGTTATAGCTTTCTTGTCAGAGATGGCTTTAGCTTCAGGTCATTTTGTAAGATAGTCAATCACTGTAATGATATATCAATTTCCAGTTGTTGTGATTTTACTAGATCCAATTAGATCAATAATAATTTTGTCAAAGGGTTATCCAATTTTGATAGGGTGTAAATATTGTTTGATAGTTCTTCTACCAGTTCACTGACAGATTTCACAAGTCTTCACATAATTCTTTATATCAGTTCCCATACCATTCCATCAATATTTATTTGCAATTTATTAATAAGTTCCTTCATATTCAAAATGTCCAGATAATGAGCTTGAATGTAAATTAATGAGAATAACTTCCATTTCATTTTCTTTAATAACTTGAAGAGGTGTAGTTGATTCTTTTCTTCTATTAATTTTGTATAATATACTATCAATTTATAAAAAATGTTTTGCTTGGTTATGAATTTTGTGTTGTTCTTCCAGAGTTGATCCAACAGGATAAGTTTTATTATCCAAATATTGTTGTAAATTATAATAAATTATTAAATTCAAGTTATTATTGTAAAGAGAAAAATTATTTAATAGTCTTCTGAATACATCTGGGATAGTGCATCAGCATTTTGATTTTTTCTTTCAGATCGATAAGTAATAATAAAGGTATATTCCATAAGAGATATGATTTAGCAGTTTACTCTAGCAGAATAACTTGATTGATTTTTAAATAATTATCTCAAGGCATTGTGATCAGTAATAATTTCAAAAACTATTTCAAGTAGATAATAACAAAATTATCTAATAGTCCATACTATTGCTAGTGCTTCTTTTTCAGTTACTTCATATTTTTGTTCATTTAATTTTAAGATGACACTTGCATAAGTGGGGGGGGACTGGGGAATTTCCCACTAAGAGTTATTTGCGTCTCAACTAGCTCTAGCTTGCCTTCTAGTATATTGCCTTTTTTTGTTATTGTATTGATATTTGATCTTTTTTCACCTTGAATTATATCTAGAAATCTATATTGCTTTCTTGCCTAGCTGAAGACTCTGAAATCTTAATTTTGATGATGATTAGTTTATATTTTTTGATATATTTTTAATATATTGTATAATTATCTGACCTTTAACCATCCTTTAACTATCAAGAAAATATTATAAATTTCTTGCCTAGTTTGAGTCTCCGAAATCTTAAATTGGATGACAAGTTAACTATACTTTGAACAAAAAAATATATTATATAGCTATTTGATCTTTTTTCGCTTTGAAATATATCTAGATAATCTTTTAGCTTTCTTGCCTAGTTTGAATCTCCAAAATCGATTATTGCTAGTTGTATGAGGATGCAGGCACAAAGTGCCATTTCTTCAAAATAAGTACCTGAAAATGCAAAGTGAAGCGGAGCATCTAGTTAGCATATTGCTTTCTAATGTTCAGAATTCCATCTCCTCATGATTGAATCACATGAAAAAAAAGGAAAAATGTAGGTAATTTCAGAATCACAATCAATTATAGGTACATTTTTATTGTCTTCACTTGCAATTGTTATCATAAAAGCTATATGAATATGCAATATATTTAACACAAAAATAATTGTACAATTTATCCAAATTTGTAGAAATTTCTCTATTATAATATGAATTCAAATTTTTCAAAGATTTTGTTCAAATTTTTTGTTCAATTTTTTGTATAAATTTTATCAAATATGTTTCATATTGACTATAAACTAATTACAGACAAGTTACCACCAAGTATATTAGAACGAGCATATAAACAATTACTTAATCAAAAATGCAATCCAATTTCACCAGATCAAATTATAGAAAAGCATGATCAAATTGAAAATCACTTGCGTAATGCATTAAAAGTTTATGAAAGATACAAAGCTCGCAATAAAAAAAAACCATCATCTACTTCGTTATCGATAATTTTACCTACTAACAAATCCAATCCACTTGTGCATAGCTCTGATGATATGATCACGCAAAATTCAGATCCTGTAGAATCTATCTTAAAAGATATGGAACAATTGCTAGATACAAAGTCTTATGCTTCACAGAATAAATCTCTGAATATTACTTATACTGAGGAAGAATTTAATGCATGATTAAAAGAAGAAACTGATGCATTACGACTAAAATTTATTAAAGCTTCAAAGCAAAGAATACTAGAAATTAGTAATTCTATAGCTCGCAAAAATTCAGTATTAGGTATTGAAACAATAAAATGCTGGATTCGAGATGGAAGTATATATATTTACATTTATGACCTTGAGATAGAAGATGGAAAAAATTATTCAGAACGAAAAAATAGAGAAGCATAGTGAGCTAACTCTAATCAATTTTTATTTTACATGGGCTTTGCATGGCTTTATTTTTTTTGCATGGGTTTTGTATGGTCTTGTTTTTCTTTATATGGGCTATTTTTTCTTTACATAGATTTTTTCGTAAGAAATATTATTTGAGATTTGATGAATACCAAAATTATTTGTAGCATAAGTGACAAGTTCTATCTGACATATCATGAACTATTGATTTTTTTTTAACTCTAAACTATGTGTATTGACACTAGCTTCGCTATTCCACTCTTTGGGAGCATGCCATTCTTCCATATCTTGTATTGTCAAATTGCAAATGCATTCAGTTTGAATTAGTACAAAATATATATATCCATCATTACTAGTCATTTGAAATTGATCTTTATTAGTATCTATAATACCTCTAACTTATCATCTAATTTAAGATTTTGGAAACTTAAACTAGGCAAGAAATCTATAATATTTTCTTGATAGTTAAAGGATGGTTAAAGGTCAGATAATTATACAATATATTAAAAATGTGTCAAAAAATATAAACCAATTGTCATCGAAATTAAGATTTCGGAGTCTCCAGCTAGGCAAGAAAGCAATATAGATTTCTAGATATAATTCGAGATGAAAAAAGATCAAATATCAATACAATAACAAAAAAAGGCAATAT